ACCACCGACAACGGTCTACTAAACAAGCAGTACGACGGCTGCGAGACCAACACCCCCCCCCCCCCCCCCAAAAATTATATTTTAAAGTCCCTTGGCGTGGAAATTTCTTGGGCAAAAACGCGTGTTAACCTCCTCCCCATTTCTTTTTTCGCGGGTCCAAAAAACACTCGGAGCAACCAACCCAACGGGAACAAACAACGAAACGAAAGCCATTATTGTGATGCGTGCAGGTAGGCAGGCATGCAGGCGACTCCTCGACTTCTCCGCTTCAGGCCCCGCTCCAAGCAACAAGAAAACAAAGCAGCACGCGCGAGAGAGGAGCTGAACTTAACTTAACATAGGGCTGAAAAACCCAAAGCCGTGAAACAGCATTGTAGTCGTGAGGCAATCACGAACATCGGGCCGGAAAAACCAAAGCGATGAAACAGCACTGTAGTCGTGAGCCAATCACAATCACGATGCTGGCGCCTTTCCTTGTCCTCGCAGTCCTCCACGCCACCACGAAACAGCGAAACACCTACAACAAGCGAGTGCAATCAGAACAAAGAAAAAGGACCCCCCCCCCCCCCGCACCCCCCGTATAGGGTACTGGAAACCCGCATGTGGGGTGGCTTTGCCTTGATTCGGCCGAGTAAAGTGCCCCAAGGAATCGAAACGTTCAGGCAAGCTCACTGTTGTACGAGGTACGCCTCCAAATACATTGCAAATGACATACCCGCCACCACTTGAACTTTGCAAGCAGTATATGTTACGCCCGTCCCCCTAAAGGGACCAGCATTCACAACATTTCGAGATTGGGAGCCTCCCAACAGCCCTCTCCATCCTTGCCCCTTCTTTTCTTTCCTTTTCCCACCCTACATGTATGTCAGCGACGAATCTAGTCCTGAACTTGGGCGTGAGGTCAAAGTTGCCAAATCATCGTGATCGCGCCAAGACCAACATTACCAGCGAGCGAACTAGCCCTATACCGTCAACCGACAAAAAACCACACGACCACAGATTGTTTAAGAGTAGAGATGCAAACAAAGCAGCTGGCACAGACACAACATAACAGGTCGCCCACGTACAAGATGATCACGATCATCGTTCCTCCGTACACCATAGCCACCAAGGGCCGTCGCGTACACCCATATGGACTTAGTCCGTCAGTCATCACCCCAACGGGGAATAAACGATCGCTGTCCCCGTCCATTTAAATCCGTCGCATCTTGTTCTTCCCTCCCTTATTCCCTCAACCTCATGCGATGGGAGCTGGTGCCGGCTCGCGAGGCTCGGCAGCGTTGTTCATGGCGCGGCGCTTTGTCCGCAGGTTAGGCGTGACGGGGGTGGTGAGAGGTGCGGTGGAAAGCTGAGCGACCTCGGGGGGTGCGCTGTTCCACTTGATCGGCTTCGCCTGAGAAGAGCATTAACAAGAAACGAAAAACAGGCCGGGGGGCGTCACACAAAAAACAGTGAAACACGAAAAATCAACCCATCCATCATTTATCCTGCTGGGCTCATTCGTCTCTTCATCTGCGTGGATGGACATGATGTGTTGCGTTTTGGCCAGAAACAAAACAAAAAACTCAGTAAAACGTAAAATCGGCGGTACAGGCAGTTTCATAAACAACATCGGCTGATGGCTCAGATCGCTATTGCCTGCCGAAATAGCGTCCGGGTACAGCAGTGGTACATACCACGCCATGTTGTGGTCACCATCACCATTCAAGGCATGTCTCTAAACCGGGCCCAGCACGATCGTGCTGCTGTAGTGTGCTACTGTTGTAGTGTACACTGCACTGCTGTAGTGAGAGCGTACCTTGAAAGACATGCCACCGTCGGCATGCGAGCGGCGCCTGAGCTCGGAGATAGACCTCCTCTCAGCGGCGGCGGCGGCCTCTTCTTGCTCCCTCCTGCAACCATTCGAGATGGCAGCAGTGACACCAAAGGGGAAAAGTACACGGTAGGCAACACGCACATATCAGAATGGCACGTTTAGAAAAAGATACTCAAAACTCGAATACCCAGCCAGGCGGCGGATCATACACTAAACTCTACCAGGAAAGTACCTTACAATGTAAAAGCGTTTGCTCGAAATGCCGCGACGAAAAGGTGTTGTAAATGAAATTGAGCCTCAACACACGCTTCGGACGTATAGCCAATTTCAAGAATACAGAAACACGACAAACGCTTTCGACTACTGCATGACGCCAATGTACTTTCAAGCTGACAAACCGGACAGGCGCGCAGCGCAGAACTTATAATTGTTGCGACGTATGTAGCGACAAGCGTTGCGGGTATGCATACGATGCTATTGATGTGCTCACTTGACGCGCTCCTCGTGAGCTTGCCTAGCCTGGCTCTCCTCGTCCCACTTGGCACGACCCTCTGCGCGTGCGCTAGAGTGCAACACCCTCTGAGAGAGGGAGGGAGGGAGGGAGGGAGGGAGGGAGGGAGGAAGCGAGCGGCGTCAAAACTCAAGAACAAGAACAAAAACCAAAACGAGAGGGAAGCGATGCCATGACGGTAAGCGTGAACGGAAAGAAAAACAGAAGCACACTCAACACCATTCTCTCGACGTTCCAATATGACAAAATGAAAGTAAGGTGTGTGGTTCATTTAACTATGCATGAAGTTGTTTCAGTTCTTGTTCTTGCAGAAGAGGATTCAAAAAAGACAAGAGACCAAAGAGAAACCACAAAAAATGCGACTAGTCCCTCACAGCAGAAACAAATATGCTCTGCTCACCTCAATGGGCTGCGTGAGGGAGACCTCCGTTCTCTCGGGGTACAACTCGGGCTCGAAAGTAGCCGCCGGCAGGGGGAGTGCGATCACCTGGGGAGGGATACATGCCAAGGGGGAAAAAAATGTGCGGGGAGCAGCACGATAAAAAAAATATATATGCAATGAGAAATTCAAATTTTGGGAACTACCAAACGACATGGGGGCTATCTACATGGCTGTCGATGCTGTGGTCAAGGCAGTCGGTGCATGGGGAAGACAGACACACACCGCGTACTGATCGACAACAATAACACGCCAAGAAAGAGAAGAGTGCCATAGGAAGCACCGACGTCGGAGCTATCTATAATAGCTGCAGATGTGCATGGGGTAAGACACACGCCGCTTGCACTACAACACAAACTTCCGCATGCAAAAACAAAAAACAAAAATCAACCGGTAAAGCGGGGTCCTCTGGTCTCACTCACCTCCGTGGCACGACGGGCCCTCTCCTCCTCCTTTCTGACGCGGTCTTGGAACTCCTGAGCGGCTTTTTCGTGGCGGGCTTGGCTGGACAGGCAGAACTCCGACGTCTCCGTGAGGGCGCGGTCGCTGGGCTGAGGACAGAAGCCGTTCGAGGGAGCCGGGAGCGGCCGGGCTCTCACGCGGGCAGCCGCGTCTTCCTGTGTGCCGCAGAAAAAAGAAAAAGAAAGCAGAAAACAGGGTTTGTATGCATACAGTACGCGCCCGCAGTTACGAACCCAGGAGTTGAGAAATTGAGCCTCAAAAAGACTCAAAATTTAAGAGGTTGAGCACCATTTGCGAGCTCGTTCAAGAACCCCTACACACCAAAACCTATATAGCTATATAGCCACCATTCGTAGCCATGACCCTAGGAATACAGTAAGAACCCCAGCCCCGGCCGAAACTGCAATAGAGATTCCTTATTGCATATGCACTAACTTTAGTCTATTTTCATAAGCCGACCCTACATCGACCCGTCGGTTTTGTTTTATTTTGTTTTATTTTATTTATTTATTTTCGGGCGGACCGCGAGCCCACAAGAGGAACGAAGCACCCCAGCCGATAGAGGTCCTTAAGCGCGGGCACGTTTTGTAGAGGAAGTTTTTCTTCGTATGGATACAGCACAAAACTCATTTTCATCCACGGAGGACAGGAATCCAGGAACAAACAACAGCGTAAAACGAACGAAAGAGGTGGTAGGGCAGCACGAACAGGACTAGGCGGCAAAGATGGACCACACCACACCCCGTAGGGGCAACCCACTTTCAGGCCATCAAAACAAAACAAAGCCCGAGCAACAGATCTAGGAGTAGTTTACAGCGGTAGGCTTCACCACAATCTCCATCAAGTCTTGCCTGTCGGCGCTGGTCCAGCATCCTCTTCGCCAACAGCGCCTGCTTGGCCTTGCCCCTCGTATCAGAGCGGAGGTTGAACGGACGGGGCTCCGTGGGCGCGGGCGGCACTTCCGGAGCGGCCGCGGACTGTCGGCGGGACTGTCATCACGACAGGGGGCGTGCGTGCGGGGTGGGGGGTAAGATATGACCTTTGGTTGATTACTTCTTTCGCCGTTGGGAAAACTGGTACTACTGTATGTCGATCGTACCGAGTATTTCATAGTTGCCACACTGCTGTCACCTCCAACATGGGTGTTTGATTATATTTAGTTGCTGGGAAACCCGTCATGTCAACATTCTGCTGTTCGATAGTTGAGCGCTGCCCACGAACGAATTAATTCACCGGGTCGCAGCAAGTCGAAGTCCAATACCATCTTGTGCGGTGTCAAAAAACATCCTTTTTTGTGGAACACATGTTCATATTTACGCACAAAAAAACAGACTTCTTGCCGTGATTTCGCGACGCCTGCGGAGTTAGCTTCTTTCTTTGTGCGGCGCTGCTGCAAACCTCACGAGACTCTACAAGAGCACAAACGCAGGCAGTAGGTCATTCCCTACCCTACAGTACTATCGTGGGCCGCAGCCGAGCTCCGGCATCGACAAAAAATGAAGAAAAAATTTATCCATCGGAACCAACATCCATCCAGATAACGTCCGTCCACAACCACGGCATCAAAGGGCCCACAGGAGCCCGGGGGCCCATGGTGATGCGCTCCCACCCACACAGAACAAATCACACTTACCACCGGTAGCCTACACAAGCATTTCTAAGTAAGCAAGCATGTTGACGGCTAAGTTGGGTTGGGGTGAGGGTCGGGGTTAGGGTCTGCACTTCCCCTGTCTGGTCTTTCCTCGTAATAAACACACCACATTCTTTTGCGTGGGCAGTCCGTAGTCTACGCAGGTTGTTCCAAGTGAGAAAACATACTGGATCAAGTATAAATACAAATCGGCTAAGCTACAGCACACACCTGGGATAGCCTGGAGTAGTCCGGCATGGGGCGAGCCCTGAACTTGTTCGCCGCCGCTTTCTCCAGCTCCAGCTCCTCCGAGGTAAGCATGATTCCCCCCGTACCCCCGCCCCCGACGCTGTTGGACCTCAGAGCCGACCTTCTCTTGGTGGCCAAGGTGGGCGACGACGCCAGGGTGAGCTCCCTGGGCTTCAGCTCCGCGCCAACGTTTGCGCCGGGGCGCACTCTGACGAGAATCGGGGGGGGGGGGGGGGGGGGGGGGGGG